CGAGAATTAATTTGTACCAGGGGTAACCAATGTAGAACCAGTGGATTTCAGGGCTACAGGGGTACCTGGATTTTGGTGGTGGTTGACACCTTTTGTACAGATGTACTCATGTTTTATAATCAACAAAACTTACTGTTGCTTATTAAAAAAACAAATATATATATATATATAGTAGTCATCTGATAGAAGGGTGAGTATTGAAACAGGTGGATATGAAAGTAGGCAAGGTTTGAACTACTGGAACTTATGGAGATGTCATCAATCTGCGTTAATGCAAACAAGGTAGGGAAGATGGAGGAAAGGATCAGAGTACTGACGGAAAATCAGGTAGGACGATTCGTGGGCATCAAACTGGATGTGGACAATGTCAAGTAAGCATCACTCAAATGGGGAAAGGAGAAGGTAATGGGAGTGAGAAAGCTAAATGGAGGTTTATTCCTGTTTATGTCTCATAGCTGGGAGATGGCAGAGAGGATTTTAAAAACGGAATTGAAGACAGAGAGGGAGTTCAATCTGAGGATTGGTTGGTGGTATCCGGTAGTAGGAGTGTTAATAGAGCATAAAAAGAAGAGATCAGTGTGGGTGGATGTGGTGGAATACCTCTACATGGTTGGAGTATTCTCATATTTGAGGAAATCAGAAACCAAAGTTTTTGAAATTTGATGATAGAAATAGAGCTTGGGATAGACTGGACATGGCAAGGCTGTTAGTGGAGGTGGAACTGTTAATATTCCACCCAAGCTGAATATGATCTTTGCAGGAGAAAAATACGAATTGAGATTGGTGGTCGAGGGAGAAGATGTTACGTTTCTGACCATGGTGCAGGAAGATATAAGAAAAGAGGGAGATCAAAGAAAACCAAGGGGAGGAGAGATTCAAGTGGAGGAGAGGAATGGAACAGAGGATAGGCAGATGAAACAACAAGATCAGGAGGATCGAGAGTTGGAGACGAAGACTCAAAAGGGTAAAAAAAAGTATTTTTTTAGGGTGGTGGGAAGAAAAGGGTGGAAAGGGGGACACATGGAGAATAAGGATGAAGGGAAAAGGAAAATGGACAAACCACGTATTAAGGGAGGAGGAGGAGGTGGAATGAAGTTGGAAGGTTTAAGTAGTGAGTTGTCGTTTAAAGAAAGTGGGGCTCATAGCATGAGTCGAACAGGTGTTAATTCTAAGTCTTGTTTGAAAGCTTTAGGAGTGACAAAAAGGGGGTATAATCAGAAAAAATAAAGTAAAGAGGGGAGATTAAGAAATTCAAAAGGACCTCAGGAGAACTGGGTTTATGGAGAGGGAAAAAATCAGCAGAGTTAGCCTTTGAGAAGTTTGAAAAAAAAAAAGGAAGAGAGGAGAAAAAGGAAGAAAGGAGAGTTTTGGAAGGGAACGAGTGAGGTTCTAAAGCAAGGAGGTGTATAGTAAGACCGAGGGGGAGGGAGATGAAGTTACTCAATTGGAACATAAGAGATCTGAGGGAGGGGAGAAGAAGGTCTCTGGTCAGGAATTTGATTAGAAGCCATAAACCAGAAGTGGTTTTGCTGCAGGAAACAAAGCTGGAGAACTTCGATTTAAAACTGAAGAATGAAATTTGGGGAAAAGGGGGAGGAGAGTGGGTAGTTCTTAAAGAGTTGGGGCTCTCAGGGAGTGTAGTAATTCTCTGGGATCCAGGAGTTTCCAGGAAAGTAGAGAAAGAGATTGGGGTATACTCGGTGTCGGTGTGCTTGCAAGAAGTTAACAGAGACTAGAGGTGGGGTATAACAAATGTGTATGGTTCGAATGAGGAGGGAGAGAGAGAGTGGAGTTTTGAGAGGAACTGGGAGAGCTAAGGCAGAGATGGGAGGGGGTTTTCTGGAAAGTACAAAGGCTAATCAGGTTTGGGGAGAAGCGGAGGAGCTGGAAGTATGGGTTTATATCATCAGTATTCTTTTCCATTCTATGTAATGGAGTCTCATCTGAATTTCCAAGCCTCTAGAGGGTTGAAACAAGGGGATCCAATTTCCCCCCTTGCTATTTGTATTAGCAATGGAAGTGCTGAACCTTCTTATGAAGAAAGGAGTTCAAAGAGGCTGGTTAGAAGGCTCGAAAGTGGGTTTAGCTGGTCTGTATATTTCTCACCTTCAATATGCAAGATGATAAACTCATTTTTCTGAATAAATTAGTAAATCAGGTGTTAAATCCAAGAGCTATTTTGGCAAATTTTGAGATGTAGACAGGGATGAAAGTGAATCTAGAAAAAGCCTCTTGATCGGAGTTGGAGATTTGAGTAGGGAGGATATGGAGAAGTTTACAGCCGTGCTAGATTGTAAGGTTGGGGCGCTACCTTTCTTTATCTTGGGCTTCCAGTTGGGCCTAATCCATCTGTTGAAAGCATTTGGAGGCCTCTTTTAGAGAGAGTGGAAACGAGGTTGCATAGATGGGAGGCTAAGTACCTCTCATTGGGAGGTAGAATCACTTATAAGGAGTGTTCTTTCAAGCCTACCAACTTATTACCTTTCACTATTAAAGGTTCCTAAGGAGGTGACTAGGAAAATTGAAAAGGTGCAAAGGGATTTCTTATGGGAAGGGATGGGGGTCTAAGGTGTGTAGATCAAAGGAGAGGGGAGGTTTGGGGTTGAGAAGGATAAAAACATTCAACAAAGCTTGGGTAATGCCGAAATCAGTCAAGGAATTGCTATGCTGTTGGAATGTGCAAGTTCTGGAAGTCTGTCCCTGCTGTTGTTTTTTGGTCTATCTGGACTGCAAGAAACAATAGAATCTTCTGTAACGAAGTGAAGATTTCAGAGGACCTTGTACACTCTGTTAATAAACTGATTTCTTGGGTCTCTGTGAAAGCTGAGTTCAAAAATCTGAATATAACCGAGTTGTTACGATCCCATTCCCTTTGGAGTCTGTAATCTGATCTGCTTTCCTGGCCAATCTCAGAGCGGCTAGGGAGCTATTGTACTATTGCTTGTTAGTTCTAATAAACCTTTATCTTACCTTTCAAAAAAAAATTCAACAAAGCTTTATTAGGGAAATGGTTGTGGTGATTTGGACAGGAGAGAGAAAGGGAAGCTCTATGGAGGAGGGCATGGTTTAAATGTCCCTAATTTCCCTAATATTTCCACGACATATTTCCATTTCCATGGATAGCGACACGAAGTTTTACCAGAATCGACATATCCCCCAATGAACACTACCAGAACTATGTGGAGTACAAGAGATAGCTTCAACGACAAATTTCTATCTCCACTTCCATGGGTAGCGACATGAAATTTTTACCGGAATTAACATATTCCCTAGTGAACACTACCAGCACTATGCAGAGAACAAGAGATAGTTTTATAATACAAGTTGGTTTCAATATTGTAAATATGTGGAGTAACAATGTTATTGTCTGCCTAACTTACATGACTACCACTTTGAGCTAGCTCAATATTTCTTTTGAACATGAAACATGAAGTTATATATTAGTCTTTATTAGTGTAATAGATATTTGATTGATCTATTATGACCATTTACATTTTCTATGGTTCAATTTTTGCTTTAAATCATTCTATCATGAAGTTTTGAGTCTATAAGTTTAGAGGACAACTTCAGAACATAAATATTTTATCTATAGCCTTAGTTTCTTAGCTTTGTTTAAGGATTTGGAACAAGATAAAAAGGTGTGCATATACTTCTTTTATTATAAAATATCATTCTTTATTTTTGCATATTTTACAATGTTTCCACCATGCCTATAATTTTTACAATATATCCATACTTTCGACATTTCCAACATGTTTCCTATATTTGGAGGAGGGTGGTGGTTGTGAAATATGGAGTGGTGAGGCTTGAGTGGGAATCAAGCAAAGTAAATGGGGTAAGTGTTGGAAAGGAATTATGAAGTTTAATCAGGAATTTGGGGGCTTGATTAAGTTCAAAGAGGGAGATGGACCTAAAGTAAGGTTTTGGGAGGATGAATGGATTGGAGTGGGTAAACTATGTGACATTTGCCCAAGACTTTATAGATTGCCTGAATAGCAAGTTTAAATATATCAGTGCTATGAAGTGGAGAGGGGCGCAGCTGGTTTGGAATCCAAAATTTAGAAGGCCTTTACTTGATCAAGAAGTGGAAGAGTGTATTTTTCTGTCGGAAAATTAGAAAGTTCCAGCATTTCTATATCTACAGGTGTTCTCAGTAAAGTCAAAGCGGGTAAACTTGGAAAGAGTGCAAAGATGGAATGTTCTCAGTGAAGTCATTTTACACGGCGTTAGTTAGAGATAATCTGGGTTCAGTGCAGATAAATGGTGTGGCGGGTAACCCGGTACCTCCAAGAGTGGAAGCATTTGCTTGGCTGGTTGCTCATGACAGTATTCTCACCACTGATCACTTGAAGATCAGAGGTTTCAACTTGACATGCTACTGTTACTGGTGCAACATGGATGAGGAGACAGTTCTTCACTTGTTCTGTTCTTGCAATGTGGCGTACTTTATATGGAAGTTCTAATCCTTCTTTTTTGGAGTGAATTTTCTTCAACCATCATTTCTGGCAGAAATTTTCTCCAGGTGGCAAAACTTAGAGGAAGCAAGAAAACCAGAATCTTGTGAAGCTGCATCCCATTTGCGGCCTGCTGATCTCTATGCCTATGGAATGAGAATAATATAAGACTGTGAGGATAAGTCGAAGAGCATTGATCTTTTGGTAGCAGAAGTGGGTAAACTTGTAACAGATTGGGTTTTAGCCCTTCTGGATTTTGACCAAGCCAACAGATCTGATTTGTTAGAGAATTTCTGGAGTGTTCTCGAACTGCAACAATGTGGATTTATTTACAGTATGAGTTGTTGCTTTTTCTAATTTGGTGTGTCATCTTGACAAACAACTGCTATAAAATGTATCTTTATTTTATTTTAACGAAAGTGCTTTTCTTTATCCTTCAACAAAAAAGAAAGGTCAATCAAGAAAAATCTAAGAACATAGAGCAGACTTTATTTCATTCAATTGAATGAAGTGGTGGCAAAGTGGAAATTGTAAAGCTGGATTGACCTGGAGTTTCACGTCCACTTTCATCTCCTAGTGAACCAGTTGATTTTAGACAGAGCTTAACCATAGCTGTTTCAACCTGAAACCACCCATGTAAGAAGCAACAAATTATTTACTGTAAGCATACATAGCATAACAGAACAATGAACTCCCAATTTATTGTCTCAAACCTACCCTTCCACACCAATGAGACTCAATATCAATGATGTCATCAATTGCCCATTCTTTGTTGCCATATGCAGTTGAGCTCTCAAACTTGATGCAACTGCAAGAAAAAATTAACACAGATTCTGTACAATATGCATCCCCATATGTAACATAGTCAGGGGAAATAACAACATCCATATTTATAGGATCCTGCAAATGACACCAGAATTGAGAAAACAAAAACGAAAATCAAAACACCATCTAAACCTTTCCAAGATGGGAAGGATAGACATAAAAGGTTATAGAATACAATGCATAGCAATAAAATAATCAAAAGCAAGTGCAAAAAATAAGGAAACCATTATACAAGCACATCAAATATTAA